ACGCGCACAAAAAATATTTTTAGCAAGCTACTTTAATCTCTAATACTTTGGTAAAAAAAAGAATAATTTTTTTTTCCCAAAAAGAAGATAGGTATACTTCTCTCCTTAAGAAATTTCTTCTTATCAAAATTTCAAAATAAATATGGACTTACATAGTTAATTTTGTATTTTATTTGGAAAAAAATATACAATTGAATCTAAAGAGATATAGAGTAATCTTAAGTCATCTGAAAATACTTGAAAAATATAATTTGATGAATTTACAAATTTTTTTTCGATTCTTTAGATTCGCTGAAACTTTCTCGATGAGAAATTACGCGCCTGTTCTGTTACTTTGACGTTGAGTTACAGATAAGATACTTTTCTTTCCTCGAATTTACAAATTAAATTTTTTCTTCTGAAAAAAAGCGATATTGAAAAGAGCAACGTGCATTCCAACGTAAGCTAGGTTTGGCATGAAGGGTTAAATTACGCTCCTGCGCAGAACGTACCGCGATGACCCTCTTCACCCCCGTCTGGTAGCAGCACGTTCTCCACTCTTCTCTAATGTTCTCCGCTCTCCTCGTCGACGGCGAACTCGTCGTCGTCGTCGTCGTCGTCGTCGTCGTAGTCGTCCGCGCCGCGCTTAGTTAGCCTGGCTTTTCCCCTTCAGTCTTCGCTCGCCGGCCGTTGGCAGAGGATCTTGCATCAATCGCGCTCCCGCGATTGTAGATCTTTTCCGTGTCGTAAACCTCGCGCACTCGCCATTCCCATGGGAAGCATGTTGCTCCGACTTGAGCGTCGCGGGGCCCATCGGGCCCACGCGATCGCGCTCTCTTGAAACCCGGGACGTCATCCCGGTGACGTCATCCCCGAAGATCATCATCCCGCACTGTAAACAGCCGAGTCCTTCCCGGTCCTTCCTGGTCCCACCCTGGATCCCAAGATCGGTCTTATGGATGGTATCGCGTCGGGAGTGCGGAATATCGGGCTGGCTTTTTTCATCCTCGAATGTGTAAGTCGAAAACTGAGACGCTCGGGTCACCGTTAGATTTCTAAACAGCCGATCGGACTTTTTGGTTCCTGGACATGTAGATGCAAGGTGTGTTGTGTAATCGGGATTCTTTCCTATGTCAAATCGTGGATAAAAGTTCAAGTGTTCTCGATTGGAATGCATGTATTCTCGCACTTTCAATTCTTTGGGAGTTCTATGATTTAAATGTTTTTTTTTTCAAGTTTTACAATCTTAGACATGTAAATCAAAAATTGAAACAAACAGATCTTTCTTGTACTTTTACATAGGTACAACTAAAATATAGTCTCAAGTATTTTTCATCAATATCAAGTTCTGTAAATATCACTCGAAATTATGTAATAAAGACTTTCATATTTCAAAGTACAATTTAGCAATTCTTTTTCAATCATCGAGCTTTAAAACTTTTTTCTTCAATGTGTCTGTTTAAAATATGCAGATATATAATAAATTCTTATATATTAAAATTTTTGATTTTTGAATGCGTGTTTATATATGTATATAAAGTAGAAATTAATATATTTTTTAGTAAAACTTCGATATTTTCTGGTATTTGAATCTTGCAATTTTCGAATCTTTCAATGTTTAATCGAACCATTTTAATTATTTGCATATGTACTGGATATTTTAATTAATGGCTTTAATTAATTGCTATCGAATGTAGATCAGGGGAATGTGATTGTGATGTAAATGAGAAATCTAATTGGGAAATCTAATGCTTAATTCGCAACTTTTTAGATTCAATGAATGTATAAATTAAAAGCAATAAATATGTTTGAAGCATATTTCTTACATTTATTGACGATATACAATTGAATCTCAAGTTATCTGAAAATAATAAAAAATTATAATTTCATGATTTCATAATTTTTTTAGCTTCTTTAGATTTCCTTAAACCTCCTCGAAAAGTTATATGCATTTTCTGTTATTTTAACTCTGTCCCCCTCCAATGCAATTATTTGATATATAAATACTCAAATTGTGGACACGATCGAATTAATTCTCAAGTTATCTGAAAATAATAAAAGAATTATAATTTCATGCTTTTATAATTTTTGTAACTTCTTTAGATTTCCTGAAACTTTCTCGAAAAGTTATGTGTATCTTCTCTTATTTGATCTCTGTCTCTCTCTGATGAAATTATTTGATATAAATACTCAAATTGTGGACACGGTCGAATTAATTCTCAAGTTATCTGAAAATAATAAAAGAATTATAATTTCATGCTTTTATAATTTTTGTAACTTCTTTAGATTTCCTGAAACTTTCTCGAAAAGTTATGTGTATCTTCTCTTATTTGATCTCTGTCTCTCTCTCTCTCTCTGATGAAATTATTTGATATAAATACTCAAATTGTGGACACGATGGGATTAATTCGAAGAAATTATCATTCTTTTCGAGTGAATGAAAAAACGTAGAGTATTCCGCACGATGGCAGGTGTCGGTGCTACACCTGTCCGCAGGCTGAATGCTTTGGTCAGGTTATACGAATAGCGACAGTCCGAAACAAGAACCTTTATCTTAATTTTAGTCAGCATGCCAATAAATTACTTTATATCGTATCACTATCGCGCGTTAGTTTTCAGTGACGGGTTCCAATAAATGTGAAACTACTTTTTCTTGATCTATATATATAAACTTTATTACTCATTCTTTGCGATTTTTTAATTTTTATTACTTTATATCACGGATAATACTAGTTTCAATCTTTTGAACGCTGTTGATGCAAAATATAAGTAATGGAAAACACAACATTAAATATTTAAAATTTGCCTCTTTAAAGTTTTACATGAAATTCTGTAATTTTTGCTCAGCAGAAAATGAATTGATGAAAAAGCCGAATATTATTTATAACTAAGAGATATCTATACATATATAAAATAAGAGAATTTACAAACAAAATTAAGTATTAATAGACTCTATATTTTCTTCTTAAAATAAAATTCATTGAAATGGAAGTAGCACTATTTGTTTCCAAATTAAAAATTTAAATCACAATTCCTTGTTTTTATGGAATTATATGACACTTTAATTATATTAATTCCAGTTGAAATATTTGCTGGGAACGTCGCAAGCATTGGACATTTCTCATACTCGTATTTTACACAATTATACCGATTGCGCGTCTCTAAAAAAAATAGTGATATCAAGTTCTTTTTAGAAAGTTTCCATATGTTGATTTTATATGTAAATTGGTATTTCCGCTTTTTGCAAGTAAACGTTGCTTTAACAACTTTCTCGGACTGTTCGATAATGCCTGTTTGAACGGCCACAACATTTGTGTAAGAGATATCGACAGATTGCGAGGGTATCGGGCCCATCGCTAGTCACGAGGTCCCACTTGCCGCTCGAAGCGTCGAATTCCACAACGTTTACTCATTCGAAAGAATGAACTCTCGAAGACTTCTCGGGGCCGGAGAGAAACTTCGATGGCGGAAGAGAAGTGGGAGAGTGGTCGGACGAGAGAGAAAGATAAAGGGGGACAGAGTAACCGATGCTTTAATCGGCCGTTGATTCTAACCGAGTATTATTTAGTTTCGTCTAATTTCAAGGGTTTTTTTATTTTAACAAAAATGAAAATCTGCAACTTTTTATTTACGAGTTCGAAATCTAATGTTATTCATTATTTAGACTGAGAGATCAAATTTTATTTTAATGACAACAGTATATTCACATATTTTACAAATTCGAGTTCCCTTCAAGTGCATTCGAGTTTCGATATTTTGAGAGATTAAAGAGATGCAAAAATAAAAGATTTCGAAAGTTGCAGAATGCAAGGATTTTTAGGAATCTAAAATGGAGCAACACACGGATAATATGTATTTGCGGCGTCATTTATTAAATAATTATTGAGTTTGATCTAATTTAAAGGGTTTTTAATTTTAACAAACATAAAAATCTGCAACCTGATTTACGAGTATGAAATCTATAATGTTATTCATTTGAGAGATCGAATTTTAATGACAACAGTACATTCACACATCTTATAAATTCGAGTATCCTTCATGCATTCGAGTTTCGATATTTTGAGAGTTTAAAGAGATATATAAAGAAATGCGAAAATAAAAAAATTTGAAAGTTGCACAATGCAAGGATTTTTAGGAATCTAAAATGGAGCAACACACGGATAATATATATACGCGGCGTTATTTATAAAAATATACAAATCACATGCGCTAGCAAATCCCGGGTGTATCACGTAATTTCTAACTTAGTGCATCGTCGCTTACAACAGATCTTTCGTAATGCTCGGGACATTGGTCGTCGTCCAACTGCCAAATTAGAATTTGTAACTAACTAAAAAGAATAAGATAGCGCAAGGATTCGAAAATTCAAAGACATGACAATCTATGCCGTTTTGTTCTTAAAATATAATAAACATACTTTTAGTAAGTCAAAAGATTCTAAGAATGCAAAATATTTTGAAAATCAATATTGGCGTAAACGTAGCCGAAAATCATGAACTTGATAATAATATTTATTAGTATATATTACATATGGTATTATTATTTATCAATTTAATTCAAACTATTCTTTAATTTAGAACAGACGTATTCAGGAATATGAAAAAATATGTTACAGAAATGTGACATATTATAACAGAAAAAGATTAAGAAAAAATGTATAATGAAGAATATATAATGAAGAAATAAAACAAATTTTTTGTAATATTTTTATTTGATTTAATGTTAAAATAATAATTATAAGAGATCAAAAACAAACAAGTCTTCTTTAAGCTACTTAAAATAGAAGTTATTTAAAATTTGTTTTTTTTGCTCTTCCATTATCTCGTTATTTGTGTAAATGCAAATAAGCGAATTTTAAATCTGTCAATATGAAAAACAATCGCAAATGCCTAACTGCAAGAAATACGAGAAACGCGCGAGTAAAGAATGCGCGAATATGGAACTTCTGTTGTATCAACTGACATGACGTAAGGGAAAAAGTTTAGACAGTTGCTGACGTATCGCAATTATTGATGTTTCAGCGTCGACCGCAGGACCGTGTCACGACGCGAGCATCACCGACGTGAACTCCAACCATCATCATCATTATCATCATCATCATCATCCCGAACACAATCAACACGACCATCGGCCTCAAGACCGAATTCCATCGTCCTCCTCGATGTCTACCTTGCTATGCTGCGAGCCAGTATCGGCTGGCCGGCCTCGGGCCAATCTCAAACTCGTGCTGAACCGCAGCCTGAGCGAGCCAGGACCGAGTCCTTGTGCCTTCCCAACTTCGCCGACCGCTTCGTCGATCGTTAACAACAACAGCAACTCCAGCGTACCTCCCTCGATTATTATCGACGAGGAAACGAACGGCGACGACAACGACGACGACGTCCACCGGCGTGGCTTCCATCATCTCCACTACCACCACCACCACCATCATCATCACCACCTTCATCATCTTCATCATCATCAGCACTTGTCGATAAATACGAAGCGTTGCAAACTGGAGACCGCCAGTCTGCCCACCAGTCCCTGCGCGGAAAACGGCACCCTTCATCGTCAGCTGGTGCTAAGCAAGACCCGCGTCATCACTTCCGGCGATCTCGCTCAACGTCTCGCGCGTCTCGAGCGACCCTCCGCCGTTTCGCCGGTGATTCTGGACTGCAGACCGTTTATACTGTACAACGTCAATCATATACGCGGCGCTATCAACGTTAACTGCTCGGATCGTTTCAACCGACGCAGACTCCAGCTGGGGAAGGCTACTCTCGCCGATCTTGCGACCGCTCGCGAGGGCAAGGAGTTGCTCAGGAGGAGACAGTTCAAGGAAGTCATAGTGTACGATGACTGCACCGATGACCTGGAGCATTTACCCGCTCAACATCCATTGTTTTTGGTACTCGCCGCCCTTGTGGATGATGATCGAGAACCCGCTCTGCTGATCGGTAAGTACTCTTCAGTTTTTTTATCGTCTGCTTGTTATTTTGATTCAATAAAAGAATCGGGTTGTGAAGCTCTCATCTCCTGACTATAATGATGTTCGATATTGTAAAGTGATAAATCATACGAATTTTTTTTCTTTTGCACTACAAAAAATTATGCATTGGAATATCAACAGTAACGTTCCAAAATGCAGTGGATAGTATTTAAGAATTAAATATATAAATTGTTTTTTTCATTTATATAAAATAAAAGTTTGATATATAAATTATTATAATTATCTTATCTAAATTTTCGTCCCACGATGAAAGATTTGAAAAACTGAAAATTCGTATATGTCAAATAGGTACTAGATAAATAGATAATACACATAGTATATGTCAAATAGATTAGTTATCGCTATATTTTCTATAGTTTAAATGTAGTCTTTGTCATATATTTTGATGGCTGAACCAGATGTGCTTTTTATGTTATCGAATATGGCACAACTGATAATGACAAGATAATGATATATGAAGATATCAGTTACGATCCACACTAGCAATACATCTTATTATTGTTAGACAATTTTTTGTAGATAAATATAAAATGAATTGTTGCTTGAAAATATATGAACGAAACTTTTGCAAATAATTTGATTAATTAATACATATTAGTACATTAATTAGTGCAATATGGAAAAATTGAGATAAATAATTTACTACAAATTTAAATTATCCAAAAACTTGGAAACTTATTAATGCGATATGAGGCTTTTATCAAGCATATAAATTTGAGATAAACTGTCACGATGATCTTTGCACACGAATAACTATTAGTGATCAATCTTTGTGGGTTTTTGTCCTCGCCGATTTTTCCTTGTAGCGCGGAATTTGTTTACAAAAGCGAAAAGACCGTGAAACAGCAAACTGTTTGTCGTCTATCCGGTCCTCTACGTGGGAGTGAGTCTCTGGTTTTCGGAAATAACGATGATGCGAGCGCGATATTTCTGCCGGCCGCCAATCGCGCGTCGAAACTTTTACGCCGACATCATTCTCTACTATTATTTTTGTCGCTCATTATAGCTAATAATTTTTCATACTTTTTTCACGATACGATTCACGGTACCATTTTCAGATTATGGTTTGTTTTTTTAACAGTGCAGCCTGCAGCTTGTCAGTTTCATTTTTAACATTAATCTTTCCCTATAATTTGATATCTTTTGATTGATTAAAAATATTATTTAAATTCTGAAATAAAAAGAAATAATAGTAAAAAGATTTCTGTTTAAAAACATGATTCAACATTGGAGGAGGAATATTTTGTATTTCTTTTTAGTTTGATTTCTATTCAGGAAATTTTACTACGAAGGAAATATAATCATTTTTATTGACATGTAATATTTTTTAAATATTTTTTATTAATATATAGAGTTTATATTTATAAAAAAGAGATCATAGTATCATTAATATAGAATAAATTTGGCACTAAATTTTTTAAAGAAAATCTTTATTATAAATGAAGAGTAATATCTGTTTATTATAATTTTATAATTTTCGTTTCTTTTTTTTATCTAATTTATATTTTTGTTTTCCTTTTTTTCGTGGAAGCAATAGCAGCATAATTTCATTTTAGACCAAGCATTTTTCTGATGCAAAAACAGAACTTTATTTGAGAATTTAAGATGTTAAGATAATTTAAGTAATAACACGAGCAGCTTTTCATATAATTCAAATGGCCGCAATCAAATTAATAAAATATCAATATCAAATAAGGTACAATTAAAGAACATTAAGTTTCTAAGTATGGAATCTTAGACATTTAAAATTGTTTTTACTTAGTAAAAATAATAATAATAAAATACAAAAATCTCAATAATGTTAAAAATCAAATGGTAGTAAATGAAATATTGATCTCAATAGGATTTTGAAGATTTATAAATAACTGTCAGTGACGCTTTTAACTGAAAAATTGGAGGATTGTGCGAAAGAAAGTAGTGGTTTTATTGGGAAATGTGCTCGTATATAAGATCCCACGTAAATGTCGCGCGGCGTTAATGTATGGCAATTGGGAGATAATCCAAAGGAATCAAGGAAGAAAATGTAGACGAAGACCCGTTTGAATGCTCGACGACGACGACGACGACGACATCGTACTCGTATCGTCGGCGCGTACGAAGGCGAAAGGTGGGGATCTATTCATAGGAGTGACTCACGTTGGAGATGACGCCGCGAATAGTCGGACAGATTTTGCGCGCCGCGATCTGCGCTTTCGCTGTATTTTCGCAAAGCTACACACGGGAGATGAATTATAGCGGACTAAGCGGAAGATTTGTCTAGAATTTGCATGATAATACCGCGTCGAGTTAAATATCAATTGTAAGTTTAATATGGCTGCATAATTATCAGTCCATGACGTAAAGCCGATTGCGATAACGATATCACCATTATAATACTTCAGGCAACAAAATTTGCAAAGTCCAACAGAATATATATATATATATATATATATATATATATATATATATATATATATGACATATACATATTATGCAGAAATTACACATAATTTAATCTAATTAAAATCAAAGAGAATGATAGGTATGCAAAAATTTAAGAATCAAATAATTTTGAAGGTTTAAATCTTTTTATATTTATAAATCTATAAATATTTAATTATTGAAATCTATAAATTTTTATATTTATATAATTATTTATTGTAACTATACATTATTTTGTATGCATATATCTGATATAATTATTAAGAAGTTATTGGTCCCTTTGAAGATACAATAAAATTTGAGAGTAACAGATAACAATTTAATTTAATATATTTTGATATATTTATTATTATTATTGCTATCGTTTTCTCTCAAAATTTAATTGTACAATTTAATTATTAATTATATATAATTAATTATATATTTAAAATTAAAATATAATTAATCATATATATAAAATGTAATTATTAATTTATCAGGCACTCGTTATACAACAACGCGTACAGCGACGTTACTTTCGATATCAATTTGTCTCGGCTAGTTATTACATAATTAGTAACGATTCGCGGCCGCCTATAAACAACGAGAGCAAAGCATCGCGTGGCTCGTTTTGGCGAGGCTAATGCGCGCGTCTGGTCTCCCGGTCGGTCCCGATCGCATTTTTCTCAGACGACGACGACGACGACGATGACTACGACGACGACTACGACGTTGAAAGCATGAGTCACCGTGTATATCGACCCTACGGCATGTTTACGCTGGCTAAGCGCACGAACAGCCATATGTCAAAATCACGATTGCATAACGTATCCCTCACGTTGTCGCCGCCATGGCGTCTCACTCTCTTTTCGGGACATTTAGATATGAGTCAGTTGCACGGATTATGAGATTTGCTCTATCAGCGGGGCCTCATCACTCTCAGGTGTGCCAGTTATTCATCGTTCCGATATAACTTACTTTCGCTTGAAAAAAAAAGCATAAAGATTGAGAGGAAACAGCTGGACCATTCTGCACGGTCTGTAAAATCGGAAAAATTGTACGGTTTATTTTTAATCGAAGAGTGTAGGAGTAGCTTCGGGTAATTTATAAAAATTTGACACTATTAATCACCAGAAGTTATTAAGTAAAATATTATTTAATAATATCGGCAAAACTTGCAGACGACACTTTAGTCTCGTTTTAGCAAATATTTCAATTATTTCGCAGTTATATATCTTCGTACTTATGTCCTGGAAGTAACTTTTAAATATTGCATTGTGTGTATAACTTGTACTTCAAACCAAGAGTCTTATAATGTGACTCGGCTTTATTTCTAAAGTCAGATCTGCATAAAGTTATTTTTGAAGCAAGAAAGAGAATATAGTTGCGAGATAATAAGAGAACGATAATTGCAAAGGTGCACAAACAATTTTAATAATAAATTAAAATAAATTAAAATAAATTAATAATAATAATAATATAATATCAATAATATATTATGTGCACGTATCACATCATTTACTTTATTATATAATTAATAAAAAATATAATAATAGAAGTATATATAAGGAGTATATATAGAATCGCAATAAATTTTCAAATTATATAATTATAATTAATTGTATAATCATATATACTCTTATTATACATATATGAGGGAGCAAACATTTTGGACCGTTTAGAGTCAATAAATGAAGCCGAACTCGAAGCTTAATGAATTAGTCATCGCTCTCCAAAGCCCGGGGGTTGCTGTATTTTTTCCATTGTGCGCTTTTTCATCCCCCTTCCCGTTTAAGGGTGCGACGAGGAGGTAGTCTAATCGAAGGGGAAACGCGCGCCTCAGAACAACGTACAACGCATCTGGATCAGCTGTCGATGACGATTATTACATATGAGTCATCCGATACACAGCTCGCTTTAAAATGTATCAATGACTAACGCGCGTCCAGCTCACAATCGTTCTGGGCCCCCTTACCCTTCGGGTCCCTTTGTGCAGTACCGGCGTGATTCAAGTACTAGTAGGATCGTGATGAAGGATCTAAAAATACGGGGTGTCTGGTGACTTGGCCTCGCCTCGTAACTGCTCATAATCTCGCTTCCACGGTATGGTATGTGTGTGTGTATGATACAACAATGTCATGTCATCACGAATATATCTAAGTATGGATATGTTATTGATGACACAGACAGAATTTTTATTCCAGAAACGGGGGATAAGTTTTGTGATAAAGCTAAGTGAAAAATGTGAGGGATTGTTTTTCTGAAACTTTATTTTCGAGAGAATCGAAAATGCTTGTATGGTATATCAATTTTAGAAGCCCTTATGACATCGTGCCAAAAACAATAAATTCATTTTAATAGTCACTATCAGAAGGGTAGATATGAATAAAAGTACAATTTTATTTAAGAAAATGAAAGTAAAAAAATTAGTATTTCAAAAATACATAATTCTCTATTATTTGCTTAATAGATCGTCACATTTTTTATTTATATTTTAGTATTTTATATTATTTTTTGTTTTATTTTGTCTTTTATTATTTTTCCCAT